GTAAAGTATCATGTAGCACTAGAATATCTTAAATGTTGACTAGTATGTATGTTTTAACAATATTAATTCTAAACCATGAGTATGGAACTTGTTTCAGTTTATCTATTTCAATTTCTTTTCATCTGTTTTGTATTGTGCAGATTTTTCACTCTTGTTAATTTCTAATTATTTTATGATGTAAATGAGATTGTTTTTCTTTTGAATAGTTGTTGTTAGCAAGTAGAAGTGCCATTGACTTTTACATGTTGATTTTTTACTGAAGCCTTACTGAATTTGTTTATTAGTTCTAACAGTTTTTGTGAGATTAGAGTTTTCTATATACAAAATCAGGTGATCAGCCAACAGAGATGATTTTACGTCTTCCATTCTTATATGAATGTGCTTTATTTCTTTTTTTCTTGCCTAATTTCCTGGATGAAGTTTCTAGTACTTGACCGAATAGTAAGAGTAGGCATTGTTTTATTTCTTATCTTAGAAAAAGAGCTTTCAATGAGTGGCTTATGGTTTGTTTTATAGATAAATAGATAGATACTTATATCTATCTATATATGAGTTCAGATTATATATATATATATATATATATATATATATATGAGTTCAATTCTTCTATGCCTTCTCACAAGATTTTATCATGAGAGAATATTGAATTTTCTCAATTTTTTTTTCTGAATCCTTATGTGGCATTGGTGTCCGGATATTGCTGAACTCCTATAGTTAGTTTGGAAAATTTTCCCTCCTTTTGAGCTTTTTGTAAGAGTTTGAGAAAGACTGATATTAGTTCTCTTTTAAATGTTTTTGTTTTGTTTTGTGGTTTTTGTTGTTGTTGTTGTTGCTTTTGTTGGTTATGGGGCTTGAACTCTGGGCCTGGGTGCTGTCTCTGAGCTCTTCAGTTCAAGGCAAATGCTCTACCACTTTAGCCACAGCATCACTTATGGTTTTCTGGTGGTTAATAGGAGATAAGAGTCTCACAACTTTCCTTGCCTACCTGGCTTTTTGAACCGTGATCCTTAGATCTCAGCCTTCTGAGTAGCTAGGGTTATAGGTATGAGCCACCAGCGCCTGTGATGAGAAACTTTGTATTACCTAATCAGTCTCTCATTGCCATTTCTATTTCTGCCTAATTCTGTATTGATATAATGCATGTTTCTAGGGATGCATCCATTTCTTCTAGATTATTCTCTTGGTTGGTGCACCTGTGTTCATACTGGTGTCATGAGCCTTTGCATTTCTATAGCATGTATTATATCTTCTTTTTTATTTCTGATTTTATTTGACTCTTTTTAGTATACCTAAAGGCTTGTTCTTCTTATCTTTTCAAAATAACCCATTTTTTAGTTTGACTGATTTTTTTATTGTTTTTATATAATCTCTATTTCATTTATTTCTGTTATTTGTTACTTCCTTCTCTGTACAAAGTTTAGACTTTGTTTTTATTTTCTAGTTCCTTAAAGTATGCCAGATTGTTTGAGATCTTCATGTTTATTTTTTAGGTAGGCATTTATTTTGTAGCCAGACTTCTCAGAACTGCTATTTATTGTATCCTACAAGTTTTACTGTTTTTATCACATTTCATTTATTTAAATACATTTTTATGTTTCTATTTTTATTTCATTTTGACCCCGTTGATTGTTTAGGGTCATGTTGTTTGTCATTATTTACTGGTTTCATGATGTGATTTCAGTCTTCTCAAATTTATTAATTTGTTTTATAGTGTAACATATGATCAAACCTTTGTCAGTTAGAGTAAGTCTTGTCTACTTTTTATCATTTGTTTGTTTGTGCCAATCTTGGGACTTGAACTCAGGGCCTGGGAGCTGTCCCTTAGCTTTTTTGTTCAAAGTTAGTATTCTAAAATTTGAACCATATCTCCACTTCCCGCTTTTTGCTAGTTAATTGCAGATAGTTTTTTCTTGAGATTTTGTTGGTTTTTTTTTGTTGTGTTTTTTTATTGCCAAGGTGATGTACAGAGCTACATAAGTAAGGTAATGAGTACATTTCTTGTCAACCTTGTTACCCTTTCCCTCATTTTTCTCCTACTTTCCCTCTCCTCCAAACCCCAAGTTGTACAGATCATTTCCAACATATTGTCTTGTATATATTGCTGATGCATTAGTTCCTCCCTTGCCCTTTGTCTCACCATGCGGATAAAGTTTTATGAGCTATCCTACTCAGCTGGCTTTGAACTGCGATCCTCAGATCTCAGCCTTTGTAGTAGGTAGGATTACAGGCGTGAACCACCTATACCCTGCTGGACATACATTTTCCCACCATTTCCTTAAGTAGATTTCTTGAAAGAATATATAATTTTATTTATTGTTAAAATATGGGTCCAAGCCAGGCACTGTAGCTCATGCCTGTAATACTAGGTGCTCACAAGGTTGTGATCCAGAGCATAACCATCATGAAGCCAACCCAAGCAGAAAAGTCCCAAGAGGCTCTACTTCTAACTTAACCAACATAAAACAGGTCTGAAAGTGTAGTTCAAGTGGTAAAACACCAGCTGAGCAAGGGTGAGGCCCAGAGTTGAAATCCCAGTAGCAGCAGAAAATAAAAAGAGTTCCAGTAAACTTTTTCTATAAAGGGCAGATAGCAAGTATTGTAGGTTTGTAGGCCAAGACAAAACTGAGATTTTTCTGTAGGTACTTAAGTTACAAGAAAGAAAACAGATTTCTGTAAATCTTTATTGATTAAATTAAAAATATGGTAACATTGAATACAACATTGTACTCAATTTGTAATCCAGGTCTACAAATGTGAAGAACAGAGTTCTTTTGGAAGTTAAATGTTGATGTTCTCTGTCATCCAAATCTGTTTCAAATGTTCATTTGTTAACGCTGATCTACAATGAGATTTTCCATATTTCACCTTTGCAAATGTCTTTCCACATACATAGGTACTGCCAAATACTGGTATCAATCCGTGAACACATGATTTAATTGAGCATTTTCACAGATTGGAAGGCATTTTTAGAATTCTATTAGCTAAAAGGCTAGAATGCCTTTTAGCATGTCATTACATTGCAAATCACTTCCAATTAAAGTTCCTCAATTGCACAGCTAAGTGGATTTTGGAATATGGAAATTTTTTATACATGCATAGAGGTCTGAAAACACTGCTGTTATTTGAAATTAGAATATATCGCTACAAATTTGTGTAGGAATGAAGATATCACTTAAAAAAAAACTTTTGACAGTGCAGGCCTGACATTACTTGCAATTCAACAATGTTAGTTCTCATTGAAATGACTTTATCACAGAATGTTTCACATATAAGCACTGTTTTGCCTTGTAATTTTAGCTTGAAACATTTTCAAGTCTGCAGCAAAATCTAATTCCAGAGCCAAAGTTCAATAACAGTGGTTGAGAACAGTTTTTCTAACCATTCAAAAAATGTAAAAGCCATTCTTAAAAACTATACAAACACAAGCTAGAGTTGGTCCATTGGTCATAGTTTGCTGACTTCCTGTTCTATGGTCTTGTTGGGTTTTGTTTTTGTTTCTCTCTCTCTCTCTCCCCCCCCCTTCTTCCTCCCCACCCCCTTCTCTCTCTGGTGATTCTCCTGCCTCAGCATCTCAGGTTAAGGTACAAGTATGTATTAGTAGGTCTGGTCCTGTAAAGTATTAACTGATGATGTTCTGAGTAAATATAAGTGACTTTTTCCAAAATTTTGCAAACAAATTTTATTAACTTCTAAAAAACAATTAGAATGTTAATTACCCTGATTTCATTTAAAACTGTACGCCTCTATACATGTATTGAATTTCAGCACAGTATTCCATAGATTTGTACAGTTAAAAAGATCAGAAATAATGTTTTCAATTTATGTGATTGAATAATAATATTAAATATCTTTTCATCATTATAAGCCATTTACATTTTACTTCTTAATTGTAAAATTGGCTGTTCATATTATTTTTTTTCATTTTTATGAAAATTTCACTCCAACAATCAAGAAATAGTCTCATACCTCAGAGTACCAAGTTCTTTTTGGTGGTTCTACCTACTTATTCTTCACTGTTTTCCTTCACACGTCCAACACCTCTTTCATTTTGAGAGACCTACCACTGCCTGACAAAGCGTGCTTTCTCAAACACTCAGAAAATGTTTTCTCAAGCTTCTCTGAATGTATGTGCCTGATGTCATTCATTGTTACATTTTCTTCTTTTTCCCTCCCAGTGTAACTATACATCCTGTAAGGCTCAAATTAAGGACCAGCTCGTTTCTTTAGTTCCAGTCTGTGCCCATGTCTGGTATAAAAAAGACACAGGGATTTGTTGTTGTTGGTGGTGGTGGTAGTAGTGGTAATTAACTGTCTGTTTATAGTGGTCTGTCTTTTTCCTGGGCTCATAGTTTCTTTTATTAATATTATTATTATTATTATGGTGATATACAGAGGGATTACAATTACGAGTCAAGTAGTGAGTACATTTCCTTTCCTTTCTTACAATGTCTTCTATTCCCTCACCCTTTCCCAGTACCTCCCTCCCTCCCATCTCCACCCACCAGGTCTACAGTTCACTTTTCCTCAGTGTCCAGTGGGGCTCCTAGTTTCTTGATTCTAAGACTGTAATTGATTTTGTTTCAGATCAATTTTCAATACTTGCCGGCACCAATTACAGTATTCGCAAATATACCTCAGGCATACATTCTTCGTGATTAATATCACTAAATAGTGTTTAGCATAATATAAAGTTTGAAGACTCACCCTCAGCTGCTTGTGCCCATAGAATCAGCTACTTGAGAGGCTGAGGGAAACTTTGTATGTTTCCCTTCTAGCATCAAATAGCTAATTCACATAATTATATTTAGTCACAGCTGTGGCCTGTAAGAAAAATGTTTGTACTGGAAAAGAATATTGAGAACCTTAAAGTCAAAAAAAAAATTTCATTTGTCAAGTCTGTTTTGTAATCTGAACAGTTAAATTTCTTCTTTCAGAATCTCCTTTGTAACTTGACCAAGAATCATTTTGAATTAATCTTTTATTTTTCTTTATTTCCAAAGGATATCCATTACCTCGCCCTAGATAAGGGTGAATTGGCACTAGCTGAAGTGGCAAGAAAAAGAGCTAGTGACATTGATGCGGAATCAATAACCTCTGGAGTTGGTAAGAATTAATGCTGGCTTTTTTTTAATGCTTTTGTTTTAATCAATACTTAGCATCATTCCTATATATGTTTGTAGAGCATGGTTGGCTAATTTGGATTACTTTCTTTGTAAAGTCTTTCTTTTTTTAAAGAAAGATTAAGCCTTGAGAAAGAGTTTAGGATTGATAAGCCAGTTGATATGTGACGACTGATAACCACTGATTGCTTCAGTCACTGTTTAGCAAAAAGACAATGCTATTTCTATATTTTGGGAAAAGAGTTCATTTTTATCATTTGTTCTGTACACAACGTATAGCAATTTTATTCACAGACATGTCATATACCTTAACAGAATTTATCTCTTGCATCAAGGGATTTCATGGGATTTCAGGTTTAAGGAGTGATTTGGCTTTGCTCAGAAGCTGCTAGAGGTCACTTTACAAAGTAGTAGTCTGAAGTAAACAGAGAGGCCTAGATTGAAACTAAAGACCCATTTAAACTCTATAGAATAGAAAAGTAAAAAGTTTTAAACTACATTGTACTATCAACATGAACTTTTTTTTCTAAATTCAGTTTATCTGATGTACTAAATCTGTCAGTATGGATAATTTTATATCATAATTCCTATTCCTTTTATTCCTTGGGCTATTTAGGCCTAGATTCCTCTTAAATTACCTCAATTTAAATCACTGTTCTTGCAAACCTTTCCCAGTAGAGAAAATGATTAAATTTTAGCTATCAAGGTTGCTGTTTGGAGCTGGTCATTTGTTGTTCCTACCTACTCAAGGAGGCTAAAAGGATCTCTGTGCAAAACCAACAAGAACAGACAAATCTGAGACATTCTTATCTCCAATTACCCAGCATAAAGCCAGGAGTGGAAGTGTAGTTCAAATGACAGAGTGCCAGTCTTGAGTAGAAAAAGCCAGGTGAGAGTATGAGGCCCTGAGTTCAAGCCCCAGCACCATTTTGTACATGCGTGTACACATGCGCGCACACATACACACACACACACACACACAGACCAAGTAAAAGTAAAAGGCCGAATTATGTAAGATATTCAGAGTACTTAAGTAGTTTGGTCTACATGAAAGAATTTGTAAACGTATTACATATAGTTTATTACATATAGTATATTACATATAGTTGCTATCAACACAGTTGAAAGCAAGAGTTGTCAAAGGAAAAGCTCTATCATGATATACTGAGTGACTAGATCATTTAAAATTTTTCGTGAAGTGTGACATAAATACAGAATAGTGATTTATCATAAGTAGGGCTCAGTGAGTTTCTACAGTGAGCACTTCTTTGTTTACCAGTACCCAGAACAAGTAACATACATGATTAAGACCCATAGAAGTCCTCCTGTATCTTTGTTCAGATAATAAACCACATGCCCAACTTTTTACTTTTTATACAATTGGTTAGTTTGGCCTTTTTAAATCTTAAAATACTAGATAGAATTACGCAAACATTATTTTATTATTTTTTTGGGAGGTGGGGTCTGGTCATGGGGCCTGAACTCTGGGCCTGGGCGCTGTCCCTCAGCTCTTCAGCTCAAGGCTAGTGCTCTACCTCTTGAGCCACAGCGCCACTTCTGGCTTTTTTCTTTTTGCTTATGTGGTGCTGAGGAATCCAACCCAGGGCCTCATGCATGCAAGGCAAGTGCTCTACCACTGAGCCACCTTCCCAGCCCATATACATTATTTTATATTTGGCTCCTTTTACTCAATGCTGGTAATGTGAGAATCTTCTATATTATTGCAGGTAGTTTTAATTCTTTTTCTTTTCTTTCTCTGGGGATCAAACCTAAAACTTGTTTATGCTAAACTGAACTATACCAGCAGCCTCTAGTTGTATTTTTTTATTTTTAATCAATGTACAACAGTGTTGCAGTTATAAATACAATTTTATTCATTCCATTAAAGTTGGTGTAGGATAATTCATTTTTAACTATGACTTGTGAGGTTAATTATATATATAATATAAATGTATATATAGTATATTATTATATACTATATATGTATATATTATAATATATTATATATGTGTGTATATTATATATACAAATGTATATATATATATTATGTACACACATATATATTATATATGTATAAGTACAAATACACACAATTTGTTTAGCTTTTTTTTTATTGTGAACATACTGTACAGAAGGGTTACAATTACATGGGCAAGATAATGAGTACATTTCCTATCAAGCATTGTAGCCTCCTCCTTTGTTTACCCTTTACATCCCTTCCCAGCCTCCCCTCGCCTTGTTTAGCTTTTTTAAAAATTATTTTTATTTTTTATTTTTTGGGTCCAGTCGTGGGGCCTGAACTCTGGGCGTTGGCACTGTCCCTCAGCTCTTCAGCTGAAGGCTAGCGCTCTACCACTTGAGCCACAGCGCCACTTCCGGCTTTTTTCTTTTTGCTTATGTGGTGCTGAGGAATCCAACCCAGGGCCTCATGCATGCAAGGCAAGTGCTCTACCACTGAGCCACCTTCCCAGCCCTTGCTTAGTTTTTTGATTATTTCATTTCTTCTAGCAGCCTTGTCTTATGGTTGGTAGAGTGTTCAGTATACTCAATAAATTATACTAAGTGCATAACATTTATTTAAGTGCACATTTAAGCACATAACATGCTTAAACATTTTACAGTTTAGTAGGGGAAAGATTTATAATCAGTTTTGACATGGCATGACATAGCCACATAGTCACTACCTATAAAAGTTAAGTTCAGTAAGTATTTGATAGCAGCAATGAAGTACTTAAAATATTCCTTTTTTCCTTTGCTTGCTTTTCAGTACTATATGCAAATTTTCTTGTATATTAGAAGACTAGACAGACTTAAGTTTAAAGAAATAAATAGATGAGATTGTGGGTATAAAATCATTTTTGAAAAAGATAAAATACTACAAAACAACATCCAGTATTACTATTATAATGTAGTCATAGTGTGAATTATGTCAGGGCAAATTCTGTTGGCCTAAACTGGACTGCTTAATGTGTGTGTGTGTGTGTGTGTGTGTGTGTGCGCGCGCGCGCGCGCGCGCGCGCGTGCGTGCACGTGCACGAGTGCCCATGTTTCCCCATACAGGTGGTTGAACTGAGTTTCTGGAGCTTTTGCTTAAGGCCTTCAAGTTCTTACTTAGCTTTTTCCATTCAAGGCTAACATTGAGCCTCATCTTTACTTCCTCATATTGCTGGTTAATTGAAGATAAGAGTCTCTTATATTTGTCTTTTTCTGGCCTGGATCTGAAGCAAGATCTTCAAATCTCAAACCTCTGAGTAGCTGGGATTACAAATGTGAGCCACTGGTGTCCAACTGATGGCTAGATTTTTTAAGCAACTTGATTATTTCAGGCATTTCTATTCTCTGATCATATAATCTCACATATTATATTGGGTTAAATACCAAAGGGAAAATTCTAAAGATTGATAAAATACTATGGCTGGGTATTACAAATTTAGCTATGATAATAAAATTCTGAATATGAACATTGGCACCAGAGTTATTACCACCAGTTGCAAGACCACTAGAAAGTAACTTACATTCTACATGCCTCAGCATCCTCATTTTAAAAAGTGATGGTATATTTAGTACTTATGTTACAAATTATTGTGGGATTAAGTTAATTCTTTCATATTTTGAGCAGAGCCTTGCAAAGATTAAGGCATAGTATTGGTTAACTATTAGTAGTCCTTTAAAACTCAAAATATAGTATGTATTTGTAGTAATACACATTTTAATAGAAGACAGAACATCCACAAAGTACAAAATTTATTATTTGTTCTTTATGATACCTTAATTTTAGTCCTTCCTATTTAAATTTTAGCATTCTTTATTAAATTTTGAATTTAAAAATTCATTTATCAGGAAAGAAGTAGGAATGAGTATCCAATGAACTATATCTTTACAGAAGTTTGTATTTTTGTAACTGTCTAATTTTATTGTAAGCCTGAGAAGTCTGGCACAATACAAACTGTGAAGTAAAATCTGTCCTCTTGCACTTTTAACCTTGGCTTTACCATTGGTGTATCAGTGGGTACTGTAATGTCAGTGAGATAGTAGCTGTGGAAGAGTCCAGGCAGAAATAGAACAAGAGACCTCACAATACAACTTACCAAAGAAATATTACTCGTGTGTGTGTGTGTGTGTGTGTGTGTGAGTGTGTTTGCACGCGCGCTGGTCCTGGGACTTGAACTCAGGGTGTGGGTGCTATCCCTGAGCCTTTGTGCTGAAGGCTAACACTCCACCACTTGAGCCACAGCTCCTATCCTGGCTTTTTTTTGGTAGTTAATAGGAGGTAAGAGTCTCATCATAGCCACCATCACCCAGCTGTTACTCCCTTCTTAATCCTGAGATGCATTGAGGAATGGTAAAGCATAGAAGTATTATCAGATTACCAGGATCCTTCTATGTGTTGCTTTCTTACGTAGAGTACAGCCTCCATCTACATCATTAAAGATGAGCGTCTTAGCTACAGGAAAGAGGAAAAAGGAAGAGGGAAGGCTCCTTTTTGTCCAGGTACAACCTAGTTGTTAGCCATCACTTCTGCTTATATACCATTGGGCAGAACCTAGTCATAGAACTATACTACATTAACTATGAGAAAGTTGGAGGCGAGTATATGTTCAGTGGGCTGAACAAGTGTTGTTACTATAAAATCAAAAACCATTTGGGAGGATAGCTAGCAGTTCAAAGAAAAGAAACATAAAAAAAAACTTCTATATAATCCACATATGCAGAGAAATGAAAATATAAAAGACATCCCAGCTGCATTTAATGTAACTGTCTATACATTTGCATATTATGAGATTCTTCCAAATGCATTATATTTCCAAATTCATTTATTATATATGATCTTTCAGATATTCTGCTATAAAAAATCTGTAGCATTGTAAGTTGCCATCTCCTTTTAAAATATATTTTTAAATTCTACTTCAAAAGCCTATTCATGCTTAATGGAAAATTTGAAACACTACAATTTAAAAGCTGTAGTATAAAAATAAAAATTTA